CCCTGGAGCCAGCCCGGGCTTCGCCGGCGGGCTAGGCGGCGGCGAGACGAGGGGAGGGGGGAGGGGAGAGGTGGCGGCGCCTGGTGGGGCTCCCCCGTGTCGCCAGAGCAGAGGCGACGCGGGGGGTCAAAGGAGTCGGTTCACTTTGTGTACAATTGATGTTATTTGATTTCCTCGTTATGATCCTGGTGAAGTATGCATGCAACCCTTTTTTTGCATGTAACCATCATTTAATAAATTTTGTATGAAGTTAAAAGAAAGGCAGGCGCCACTATTCGACCGCCATGGTGCTGAATTCTACCATTTTTCTAGAGTCTATGAATTTTCTTTTTAAATTTTTACAATGGACCACATGGAACCATGGAAAATTTAGGCAACCATTAATAGACCAGATAAGGCTTAGAACACAAGGTGTATAGGCTGTCGGTTGTGCCTAAAAATAATTTTTGTTCCAAAGGCAAACCGTACTTACCTAGTCTCAGTCAGCAGATCGCAGCTCGCATTTCTGCTTTTGCGGAAGGTCAAGGTCTCGTACCATTTTGAGGCTCTCGATTAACTGCCTTCTTCATTTTGTCACATCACTGCTACTAATTCCCTCAAATTTTCTCTTGCGTTCCACACAAGTTTGGGGAGGCAACTTCTACGACAGTGTTCTTCATGGGATCTTTTTGGGAGTACATGGTGTTCTGACTGCTAATAGGTGTCAGAATTAAACATGTATACATGTCCTTTCTAAGAGATCTTAGACACGTGTGTGAGCCTACTTAGATCGCAGGTTGCATACTAAACACCACCGGAAATACTAAACAGGTGATGTTGGGCGTTAGCGGTCTTGTTTGAGGTGGACAGAGGCCGGCTGTGTATAATTGGCCGGGTGTACCATTAAACTCAGTAAATTGCATAAAACCATCACTTTGAAGGCAAGCTTTGCAAAAACCACTACAATATTTTTTTTTTGCAAAAAACACTGTGTCTACGGTAATCTTTTTGCAGAAAGCACTGATCGGCGGATCGGGCTCAGATAAGTGAGTTTATGACAGAGGGGACCCGCCAGTCAGGCTGATGTGGCACCGCTTAACATCTCGCATGTAACGACAACGTCTGGTAACGTTATCATCCCTATGTGGGTCCACCTGTCACTGGAAGAAAAAAGAAAAAATCTGGTTCATCTTATCTTCACCAGGTCCACCGTCGTTGTTGCCTCGCCAGGCTCGTCGCCGCCGTTGCCTCGCTAGGCCCGCCACCGCCGTTCCCTCGCCCAGGCCCGCCGCCGCCGTTGCCTCGCCAGGCTCGTCGCCGCCGTTGCCTCGCTAGGCCCGCCGCCGTCGTTCCCTCGCCCAGGCCCGCCGCCGCCGTTGCCTCGCCCAGGCCGGACGCGTCATCCTCGTCGCTGCCGCGGCCGGTGGACGAGGAGCCCGAGTCCCCAGGAGGCAGCACGAGCAGCTGGTGGTTCCCGTCGCCCTCCCCGGCCAGGCACCATCACCGTCACCAGCGGCGCGGCAGGCCCGATGGATCAGGCGCCAACGGCGACGGGATCTCGAGGTTTGTGGTGTGCCTGAGCCCGCTGGTCCTCCCCAGCTCGGGCAATCCTCGCCGGCGGTGACAGCAGCCGGACCCGTCGGGAACCGCCTCGCCTCCCTCCAGTTCGTCCAGACCCCGTCGGGATCGGGTCATCTCTGCCCGCGTCGTTGGGGCTGCATCGCCGGCGCGGCCACGCTGCTGGCGAAGAAGAGCTCGTCCATGGAGCTGATTGCTTTTTTTATTTTGACATAAGGGCCTCCTTGTAAAATCCCCCATCTAATGCTGTTTTGACAGAGCCGTTACGCCACGTCCGCAAAATCTGGACCCACCTGTCATAAACATACTTAAAATACTCCAATCTGCCGATCAGTGCTTTCTGCAAAAAGATTACCGTAGACACGGTGTTTTTTGCAAAAAAAAATATTATAGTGGTTTTCGCAAAGCTTGCCTTCAAAGTGGTGGTTTTCTGCAATTTACTCATTAAACTCGGACAGTGATATCAAGCTTATCAGCGGCTGCGGCTGCTGCTTATGGACTCCTCCTGGTATACAACTGCAGGCTAAACTTTTTGATTTTGTATTAGTAATAAGTAAATATTTTGTTTGGAGGTAAGAAACTTGCGATACTGAGTGCAGTGCATAAAACATTCCTATTAATGAACAGTGATCTGCTGGTTGGCTAGTCCAGCTGGTGACATCAAAATTCCACTTTCGTTTCTTTCAGAATTCATGGAGCGCACAATGATGAAGTATGCCCCTTCATCTTTTTAATTAGTACTAAGATGTCCTCATCATAACACTTTGTATTGACAAAACTATCTTGGATACACTAATAGTAATACTACTAGCTACATGTTTGCCACGCACAACTCATCATTTCAGTTTTCTGCTGCCATGCTATTTAAGTGAACCCTACGCTCTTAACACCCAGAAAGCTCCTAATTGTCTTAACATAAATTAAGCAGATGGTGACACGATGGAGATAGTTATATTACTCCCTCTATAAGTGGCAACATGTTAAATTTGTGTTGAATATTTGTGTAGGGCTACAGTTGGACTTATATCGAACATAGAGTTTTGTCTTGGAATCGAATACATGTGACCTAAACCTTTTATTCTCCGCAAAAAAAAATACCTAAGCCTTTTATACTCCCTCCGATTCATATTAATTGTTGTACCAAATCAGCGACAATTGATATGGATCAGAGGGAGTACAAGATAACACAAAATCAAAAAAAAAACTTGACAAAATCGATAGTCATGAACACTGGATCACGAAAGGGACAATCTAGTCGCTCGTCACAGGGTGGCTAGACTTGCCATGGTAGTGGTCGGAGGCGTCGTCGGTCGTATTATGTTAATAAATGTAATAACACAAATGAATATTCAACCAAGGGCTCAAGGAGATCTAGGCTTCTCCAGACTCATGAGTTTTTCCATATTTTTGCTTGCCTTCTTCTGATTTTCTTTTTCTAATTCACTTTTTCTTCTTATTATTTTTCTTGTGCTGATTGGACTGTTATGTGTATGAAACCACCACTATTCCATGGATTGTAATAGTTTTCTTTTGCGGTGGCGCGATTATAACAATTTGACTGATATCTAGCGCTAAAGTTTCCCCATGTCAAAAGTTTAGAGTTAGAACACAGAACCCAGTGACCAAGTCTAGAAATTAATGTATCATTGAGGAACCAACAATGAAGTAACATTATTCCATTGGGTGTGCATAAGCTATAACACTTTTGACTGAGACCTAAGGGCTAAAGTTTTTCTAGTCGTCTCAAAGGATTAGGGTTATATAATAGAATGACCAAATCAAGAATGGACAGATATATAACCGCGACACGAATATCCTCGATTTCCTCTCATTTCTATCCACTTTCAAAGGTTTAGGCTTGCGCGTCTCTGGTGAGGGAGGGTGATGACGGTAGTGCGTCTTCGGCTCGCTCCAGTGCTTCTAGTCGTCGCTAGGTGGTCTACGAATATGGATGTACTTTTTGTTACTTCTCGTTTTCTTTGTACTTCCATGATGTTTGGTGAATAGATTGAAAAATTTTCCCGCAAAAATAAGAGAAGAAGCCACCACTATTCCATCGATTGTAATAGTTTTGGTTTACGGGGATGATTGTAACACTTTGACTGGTATCTAGCGCTAAAGTTTCCCCATATCAAAAGTTTAGGGTTAGAACTCAGAACCCAGTGACCAAATCTAGAAATCGACATATCATTGAGGAACCAACAATGAAGTAACATTACTCCATCAGTTGTACGTAAGCTATACTTTTGACTGAGACCTAGGGCTAAAGTTTTTCTAGTCTCAAAGGTTTAGGGTTGTAGAATCGAATGACCAAATCAAGAATCGACAGATATATAATTGCGACACAAATTTCTTCGATTTCCTCTCATTTCTACCCAGTTTCAAAGGTTTAGGTTTGCCCTGCTCCGGTGAGAGAGGGCGATGACGGCGGCATGCCTTTGGCTTGTCCCGGCGCTTTGTAGTCGTCGCTAGGTGGTCTACGAATATGGATGTAATTTTTGTTACTTCTCGTGTTCTTTGTACTGCCATGATGTGCGATGAATAGATTTGAAATTTTTCATCGATTGTAATAGTTTTCTTTTGCGGGCACGATTGTAACACTTTGACTGGTATCTAGCGCTAAAGTTTTCCCATGTCAAAAGTTTAGGGTTGGAACTTAGAACCCAGTGACCAAATCTAGAGATGGACATATCATTGAGGAACCAACAGTGAAGTAACATTATTCCGTCGTTTGTAACACTTTTGACTGAGACCTAGGGCTAAAGTGTTTCTAGTCCAAAAGTTTAGGGTTACAGAATCGAATGACCAAATCAGGAATGGACAGATACATAACCTCGGCCCGAATTTCTTCGTTTTCCTCTCATTTCTACTTCATCGAGAAACCTGTTTTTTCATGGTAAAAAGTGTCGAGGGTAGGTCACGTCGACATCTCAAGCAACCTACCTTGTAGCCTTTCTCTCTCGACTGCAGATCACGCAAGCTAAACGTGGAAACTCTTAGTCAGTGTACCAGAACGCGCGTATGAGGAAAAGCGGGCTTAAAAGCTTACTAATTCCATGCATCTACATCGTATGAGCTTGCCTGATATGTATGGCATGACACGCAAGCCCGTTATGACCTCCTGCCAAAGATCCCATGCACTGATGCACATATATGTGGAACTAAATCGGCCAACCCCGGCTGACCACGTCGTGAGCTAGCAGATGAGCACAAAAAGAACAATTTGAAGACCATTATATTGGGCCAATAATTCTCCGTGGCATCAATGTCCAGTGATCCGTGGCCATCACACGACGTGACCCTTCTTTAAATACCATTGCTGCTCTTCTTCCCTCCTGTCAGATGCAGAGACACATTAGTGTGCTAGTCCTCAGAGCAAAGGCAAGTCCCCGAGAGCACTAGAAAATTTCAAGAAGGAGAACGGAGGAGAAGTAGGTCGATCGATGGACATGAGCGGGGATACGTATCACTATCAGCCGGCCGGGATGGAGGACGACGGTGTCGGCCGTGCCGAGCAGGTCCCGACGGCCGCGCCGGCGCTGAGCGCCAAGAAGCTGTGGCGCATGGTGCGCGCCGTGCACCTCGTGCTCGTCAGGGGCCTCGGCAAGCACCAACCCAAGCTCGCGGCGCTCGGCGTGAACCTGCACCACATGCTGTCGTCGTCCAAGCGCCATCACAACCACCTGCCGTCGGCGCGGGACCAGGACCCGGCGTTCACGACGTACCTGTCGGCGGCGCTCTCCTGCCGGTCCATGGACCCGGGCGCCGCGGTGCACCCGTACCCGCGCGGCCGCGGCGTGCACAGTGGCAGGGGCGGCGCGTCCTCGCTCTCGTCGACGCTCTCGTGCCGGTCCATGGACCCCGGGGCCGCCGTGTACCAGCAGTACCAGTACCGGCCCCGCGAGGTTGAGTTCAGCTGCAGCAGCCCGCCGCTGCACAGGCGCCGCCGCCGCGCGCACCGGCACCGGGTCCAGAGCCTGCTCCCGCAGCAGCAGCACGGCGACCTTCCGGAGTACACCTCGGCTCCTGCCGTGAAGACGCTGTTCGAGCTGATGGACGACGTGGAGGAGGGGGAGGAGGGCAACGTGGATGGCGCGACAGTGCCTTGGGCTGCCGGGCGCGGCCCGGCGCCGCGGCAGGTGCGGATCACGGACTCGCCGTTCGCGGCGAGGGCGGAGGACGACGAGGAAGGGCGCAAGGGCGTGGTCGACCGGCGCGCCGACGAGTTCATCGTGTGGTTCCACGACCAGCTGCGCATGCAGCAGCAGCAGCAGCAGCAGCGCCCCGCCGCCAGGGATCGCTCCACGCACCGCGTTAGATAGATCGGAGGAAGATCAGCAGTACAGGACACGCCATGCGCGCATGCACGCATGTGTAATCATAATTCATAGTACGTGGAGTAGATCTTTATGCATGCGAATCGTAATGTATACATGTGAGGTGTAGTGTAATTTCCTTGGAATGTCGTTGGCTCGATTTTGTCATGGCGTAACAAGCTTATTTAGCGTCTCTGATTTCAAAAGAAATTTCGAATGAAACCGATTTCGCCCTCTCATTTGGATGATGCCGAGATAATTAATACTGGTAGAACTTTGGTAGAAATTCTGGAGGTGTCAACTGTTCCTATAAATTTTGATGTTACCCTTGACAGCAACATCATCAAGGCAAGGGGGGCAAATGAGATACCGAAATGGATGTACTCTCCTGTCCCAAAATAAGTGTCTCAACTTTATACTAGCTCTAGTATAAATTTATACTAAGTTTTTTTTTCGGAAAAACTTTCAATCTATTCATCTTCAATCATGGCAGTACAATGAATACCAGAAATAAAAATTACATCCAGAATCATAGACCACCTAGCGACGACTACAAGCACCGAAGCGAGCCGAAGGCGCGCCGCCGTCATCGCCCCTCCATCGCCGGAGCCGCGCACAACTTGTTGTAGTAGACAGTCGGGAAGTCGTCGTGCTAAGGCCCCATAGGACCAGCACCCCAGAACAGCAACCGTCGCCGATGAAAAATAACGTAGATCGAAAGGATCCAAACCGAAGGCACACGAACGTAGACAAACAACGACGAGATCTGAACAAATCCATCAAAGATAGATCTGCCGGAGACACACCTCCACACGCCCACCAACGATGCTAGACGCACCGCCGGAACGGGGGCTAGGCGGGGAGACCTTTATTCCATCTTCAGGGAGCCGCCGCCGTCTCGCCTTCCTGAGTAGGACACAAACCCTAACAAGATAGAAAAAACGATTAAAAACGAAGCCCTCCCGCCGGCCCTTGCCAGGATCCACCGGGCCTCCGTGGCCCTAGGGCCACCGGAGACGAGGCGGACCTGCGCCGGCGCCGGCGAGAGGCACGAACCCTAACTTTCTTTTTTGGAGGAGGAGGAGGAGGAGGCGGAGCCCTATGCAACCCACGAGACAGTATCTTTTAATTTATACTAAGTTTAAGACACTTATTTTGGGATGGAGGGAGTATGATACAAATTTGCGCTGTATCAGATTGGAATTCTGAAACAATTTTTTTTTTCTTGGACCTCAATAGCTGGCGATCGGCAGCTCTCGCGGCAACCTAGGCGAACTATTCGTTCGCCTCAGCGCGGGAGTTTCCCAGCGACCCCAGCTGGCCCAACAAATTAAGAAAACACGAAGGAAGAAACGGGCTAGGTTTGCCTCAAAAAAAAAATGGGCTAGGCCCGATAAGCTGTTTCTTTAAAAAGTCATCAATAAGTTTGCATGTAAAAATAATAATGCTCAGTAAGTTGCTAAAAAAACATGTTTTGAAAACCAAACAATTATGGAATTGCCGTGAGACTATTATGAAACACTATTAGAAAATTACAATTGCCATGTAACCAAGAAGATATAATAACAAAAATTGCAATAATTTGAAAGGAAAAATATTTTCTATACCCATGGCAATTTTGCGATAGCATTTCGCATTAAGTTATTAAATTTATCATGTTCGGAAAAAAACAATTACCATGCTACGATTTGTTTTTGCCATGGTCCACAAACTAAAATTGACATGGTACAAAAAACTAAATTCACCACGGTCCACAAACTTAAAATGCCATGGTCCAAAAACTAAAATTGCCATGGTCCAAGAACTAAAATTTTCGTGGTCAAAAACTAAAATTGCCATGGTAAAAAAAATTGTCATGGTAAAGTACGAAAAAGGATTAATAAAATTGCCATGGAAATATTCCATATATCTAAAACTATTATTTACATATTTTGCCACCTAGTGAAAAATAATTTTTTTATTGTAAATTTGCCATGTATCTAAAACATTTTTTCTTCATATTTTGCCACCCCTAGTAAAGAAAGAAAACAAAGGAAGGAAGTGGTATTTGAACCCAGGTCTCCGATGCAGGCTAGAGGCCCTAGACACGTGCAATTTGTAACGAGATCGCTCGCGGCCCTTTTATTTTGTAGTGAACGAGTAAAAAAAGTGACGTGGCTTTGTCATGTGCCGCGAGAGAGGAATGGACGGTTGAAAGGTCGTTCGCTGGGCTCATGTTCCAATGGAAATTAGCCGGATACCATTTCCCCTTTTCTTTGGACGTGTTGCAACTGCACTTTTGTTTGTACAATTACATTTATCTTTGAAGTTTCTCTTTCAATTTTTCTTGCTATTTATGTTTGTTTGATGCAATGAAACTTCAGTTTTTGTACGGTGTACTTAAATGTTGGGAAGCAAAAGACATGCACATCAAAGGATACATGATTTTGGATACGCATCCCACCTTTCCAAAAAGAAGGGCGACTAGGGATCCTCGTAAGGGCTTCCTCCACCACCAGTTCCCCTTGCGTCCGGGTGCCTTTCGGCGTTGGCGAGGTGGTTGGAACCTTGGTCTCGGGTGGATGTGTAGTCTTAGTCTGCCCTACCAATGCCTAGGGTTAAGTCTTATTGTCTATGGTGAGAGGATTGCACCATCCATAGTGAGGAATAATACCTCCCCGGCATGTCCTTGATTCGATGATGTTGTTTACCATTGGTGGAGGGCATGTGGAGTTTCAGTCAGGGCCAGATCTTGGGGTGCTTTTTTTATCTGTGTTTCGTTTGGTTAACCGGCGGCGTCTTGCAGAGGGGATGCCCTCGTGACTTGATTATGTTTTGGTGAGTGCTACGTCTTGAGCTTGCGTTGGTTTTCCTTGAAGAGCAAAGGGTGATGCAGCAATAGTAGCGTAAGTATTTCCCTCAGTTTTTGAGAACCAAGGTATCAATCCAGTAGGAGGCTCCTCAAAAGTCCCACGCACCTACACAAACAAACAAAGAACTCGCAACCAACGCAATAAAAGGGTTGTCAATCCCTTCACGACCACTTGCGAAAGTGAGATCTGATAGAGATAGTATGATAAGATAAATATATTTTTGGTATTTTATAATATAGATGCAAAAAGTAAAGATGCAAATAAAAGTAGATTGAAAGCTTATATGATAAAAGATAGACCCGGAGGCCATAGGTTTCACTAGTGGCTTCTCTCAAGATAGCATAAGTATTACGGTGGGTGAACAAATTACTGTCGAGCAATTGATAGACAATCGAATAATTATGAGATTATCTAGGCATGATCATGTATATAGGCATCACGTCCTGGACAAGTAGACCGACTCCTGCCTGCATCTACTACTATTACTCCACACATCGACCGCTATCCAGCATGCATCTAGAGTATTAAGTTCATAAGAACAGAGTAACACATTAAGAAAGATGACATGATGTAGAGGGATAAACTCAAGCAATATGATATAAACCCCATCTTTTTATCCTCGATGGCAACAATACAATACGTGTCCTGCAACCCTTTCTGTCACTGGGTAAGGACACCGCAAGATTGAACCCAAAGCTAAGCACTTCTCCCATGGCAAGAAAGATCAATCTAGTAGGACAAACCAAACTGATAATTCGAAGAGACTTGCAAAGATAACTCAATCATACATAAAAGAATTCAGAGAAGATTCAAATATTTCTCATAGATAAACTTGATCATAAACCCACAATTTTTCGAATCTCGACAAACACACCGCAAAAAGAGTTTACATCGAATAGATCTCCACAAGAGAGGGGGAGAACATTGTATTGAGATCCAAAAAGAGAGAAGAAGCCATCTAGCTAATAACTATGGACCCGAAGGTCTGTGGTAAACTACTCGCAACTCATTGGAGGGGCTATGGTGTTGATGTAGAAGCCCTCTATGGTCGATTCTGTTGGGGAACGTAGTAATTTCAAAAAAATTCCTACGCACACGCAATATCATGGTGATGGCATAGCAACGAGAGGGGAGAGTGTTCATCCACTTACCCTCGTAGACCGTAAGAGGAAGCGTTATGACAACGCGGTTGATGTAGTCGTACGTCTTCATGATCCGACCGATCCAAGCACCGAACGTACGGCACCTCCGAGTTCAGCACACGTTCAGCTCGATGACGATCCCCGGGCTCTGATCCAGCAAAGCTTCGGGGATGAGTTCCGTCAGCACGACGGCGTGGTGACGATGATGATGTTCTACTGGCGCAGGGCTTCGCTTAAACTCCGCGATGATATGACCGAGGTGGAATATGGTGGAGGGGGGCACCGCACACGGCTAAGGAACGATCCGTAGATCAACTTGTGTGTCTATGGGGTGCCCCCTGCCCCCGTATATAAAGGAGGGAGGGGGAGGCCGGCCGGACCCTTTGGGCACGCCAAGGGAGGAGGAATCCTCCTCCTAGTAGGAGTAGGACTCCTCCTTTCC